GGGTGGGCGGGCGACGGGGCGTCGGGGCCGCCTGGCTGCTGCTGCTGAGCCAGCTCGGGGTGCAGCTCTCGCTGGCCTCCTCCTTCCTCACAGGTAAGGGCGGGCGCGGGGAGCCCCCTCGCGGGGCAGGCGACCCGGGCGGGCTTGACAGCGCCGTTCTCCCCGCCCTGCAGCCCCGCGGAGCCTGAACGGGCCCCGGCCCCGGCCCCCGCGCCCGGCCGCGGCTCCTCCGCCCGGAGGATGGAGAGATCCCAGCCCCCTCCGGGCGCGTTCCTGCCCCCTCCTGAGAAAGTTTTTCCTCACATCCGACCCAAGCTTCTCTTGGTGCGCCCTGAGCCCCTTGCTCCTTGTTCTGCCACTGCGGAGCATCCTCTTTGAAACCCCCCTTCAGGTCGCTGAAGGCTGCTATTAAATCCCCCCCTCTCAGTCTTCTCTTCTCCAGACTAAATAAGCCCAGTTTCCCTCAGCTTTGGCTCACAAGTTGTGTCCCTCAGTCCCCGGACCATTTTTGTTGCCCTCCGCTGGACTCTCTCCAGTTTGTCCACATCCTTTCTGTAGAGGGGGGCCCCAAACTGGACACAGTACTCTAGATGTGGCCTCATCAGTGCTGCTTCTTCCTCCTGCTCCTTCTCCTCTTCTTCCTCTTCCCCTTCCTCTTCCGATAAAACATTATAGATGTAGTTAGGGCATTGGAGGCAGGTGAAGACCTAAGCTCCTTCTTCCTCCCTGCCACCAGAGTGGACTTCACATAAAGAAAGATGTTGAGTCCATTTCTAGGAGTGTTAAGTTTCACAAAGCAATCCCAAGGGGAGAGAATCCAGGGCTAACCAGTGACAGGGGCCTTGAGCTCAAGTGTGACTCCACCAAAAAAAAAAAGATAACGCATTGGATGCCTAGGAGTGTAGTAATGGGACCTCTTCAAAGTGAAGAGTGGAGTGACTAGACATCTTTCCACAGACTGTGATGGGCTATAGGTGGAATCAGTGTGAAAGCATCACTGCTTGCATGAAATTCTCATTGCCGTGGACATGCTAAGAAAAGGAAAAGCATCTCTTTGCTGTAACTGAGCATCCAGCAAAGTCTAGGTCTTGTACAAAATAATAATAAAGCTACTTGTAGCAAAATGCCCCTTTGGAAGTGAATAGGTTCTCTACATTTATTATTCATGCTCTTGGTTAAGACAGACAAATAAAGAGAGAAATTTAAAACTGAGGGCTAGGGACTGTGGAATGAATTAAATTTGAATTTAGATTCTAAAGCCAGCCAGCCAGCCAGCCAATGAATTAAAATTTGAAAGTATTTTTTATTTTGATTTCCATCTCAGGATCAGTTGCAAGATGTGAAAATGAAGGGGAAGTGCTGCAGATACCATTTATCACGGACAATCCTTGCATCATGTGCATTTGCCTGGTAAGTTTGGATTTCAGATCTTAAGAGCACTTCACCCTAGTCTAAAAGTAACTGTACAAAGGCAACACATTATATAATCAAGCCTTGGGTATCTGTTGCCTTTATGTAATACAAGGTTATCTCACTGCTGAGCTAACCAGGAAATATTGCTGTCCATTATCTTGCAATCATATCTTGGACTTTAAACTCATTGACACAGTCTTATGAGTGACTTTAATATGACATTGTGGGACTTACTGTTCACTGCACTCATTATGTGAAGTCATAGCAAACACTGTTTTCTCAAAGTCAGAAATGCTTCAGCATGAAAGAGTCCTGTGGAGATCTTACCTACAAACACAGCAAGGAGGGTAAAGTACAGGGTACTTGTGGATGCTACTGCTTTCAGTCTAGCTCTACCTAATGTCAGACAGTGACTGCTGAAAAACTGCACAAAGGATGAAAGTAAAGGACACAACAAGTTAATAAAGCCATAATATTAAAATAACTTAAAATAAAAAACCTTTAGTTTTACAAGGATAATGCAGTATATATTTCAGGCATCCCTAACTATATTGTAATAAAGGGACAATGGAAGCACACATGATGCTTTTATCAGAAAGCTTTTCTCTGAAGATGACACTGTTATTAGTTCTGGGAATTCAGCTGCTCTAGTAGTTTACAATGATGCAAGTTCATAGTTTTTCCCTGAGGAAATATGCCATATTCTTATACTGGCTTTCAGCTAAGGAAATGCGCTCAACCTAAGACAAATGAGGGTCCGTAAGTTGCTGAAAAATAAATTGGCATGTATAATGTTGTTAAAAATGAAACCAAATCTTAGCTTACTGTATAATGCAAAGAAGAAATGCATGTAAACATAATTCCTCATCCTCTGAAAGATTATTTCATGTTGCAGAGGGTGAGGAAAGAGGTGCATCTTCTGATTATTACCTGTGCAATGATTTCCCTTACTTGACTGAATATCAAGGAGCCTCCACTCTTATTAGTGATAATATTTCTAAAATTCTCAGCACTATAGTAGCTTTATATATAGAAAAGAATGTTCCAGACTGCTTATTGGGAAGCTACTCCATGCAGTTGCAAGAAGCACAGTACCCCGATCCAAAACACACTCAGTTCAACGTGTATTGTTCCATTGATTTCAGTGGATTTTGCATGAGACCCAATGTCAATCTTTAGATATTAATAAGAAAGAACAGATAGTGTATATTTTGGGAAGAAAAGAATGGGATGTAGAGAGTAAAGAAATAAAAGGGGAAAAAGTGTGTTTTATAATGGGTTCTGGATCTTATCTTTCCTAAACATCTGTCACATAACTCCTGCAAAAGGAAGCAAGCAGTGAGGAAGCAATTTACATGGGAAGGAGCAGAAGCCCTGTGTTGGATTAAAAGTAAAGCATGAAGGAAAACACACACACACACACACACACACACACACACACACACACGATCCTCTTTATAGTTTGAATAC